TGACACTGACACTATACCAAACAGCCTTGCCAGTACCTAACGCATACACAGCCACATCACCCGGGCAATGGCAGCTGTACTGTCGCAATTTGTAATAATCATCGCACTTTGTAATACCTGTCGCAATTTGTAATAAACCGTGTCGCACTTTGTAATAAAAAGGCTGTCGCAATTTGTAACAACTGTCCATCGCACTTTGTAATAAACTAAGCTGTCGCAATTTGTAATAATTCCATCGCACTTTGTAACAACTTTTTGAGAGTAATTAAACTTACTTCGTCAACGTTGATATAGCGCCAAAATATGCATGGTACTTCATAAACAAAGATCATGACGTCTGCTAGCACGTAACATCTCCGCTGATTCAAACATTTAACTTTATTCACAGTCCTAAACATTTTTTTTAGATTAATGTTGATTAGCTATCTGACTTAAGAAATGATGTATTCTTAAACTTGCTATTGTACTAGGTGGCTTGCATTCAATGGTTACCGGGCGGGTGTACTTCCTTATATGGCCAATACGGGGATGTGCCTCTGGACAGAGCATTGCCGGAGTACAGGATCTAGACAGAGCTAGACACACTAGACACAAACGAGCCATTATTAAAAAGCATTTAATTTCCGCAAATCGTAACATCCATCCTACATCATTCGAATAAGGACACCAAGAGAGTTCAAGCTTTCCTTGTTAGATCTTATAACAGGTCGACACAACACGTGGTGCACCGTCCTTGTCTAACGCGCAATCTTAAAGAAGTAATAGTGGCTTCCATATTTTGGCCAACTTAATCAAACGAGGCCTGGAAAGATTCAAAATGTTTACTGCAAATAATAAAAAAAACGTTACCAGTGGCAAACCGTCGAACCACAACAGAAACCTCAACACAAAATCCAATTAGTCGCTGGCCAATACCTTCGTATGTACCTGTTTTTATAATACTCACTTGGGGTCTTACACTGAGTCGGCTGGGCATTTGGTCCATTATTCTCACTTGTTTTGGTCCCATATAGGAACAAAAGGAGTACTCATTCCATCTTAAAACAATTGTTTTCCATGAGGAATCCTCTAAATCAAACATATGTACCATGGGGATAGTAAAAAATTATCCTTCCTTGCGTATATACATGTGCAACTCGTAAGACCTTGCAATTCTTCCGAGCGTGTTCTGGATTACTGTTTTTCCACAAAATGGAAAGGATAGAATACATCCATTACTACTTGAGTTACCCTATCTAAGGATCAAACCAAAGACACAAGGCCAACAACGTAAAAAATGATACCCTATTAAAGGCTCGAGATCCTCAAAAATCATACCCTATCAGGCGGTACTTACCTATCTAGCCCATCCATATATGGGATTATCCTCCCCCCTCCCCCGAAGACTTCAAGTGTCACGTGGCAAGCAAACATGGATTTGGACGGCGGATGCCAGGTTAGTCATGAATTTTCTGTTGTTAAATGTTGCTTTTGTTATTTAAATATTTTTGAATTTAAACATGATTCACATGTTTGATGATATGTCACAGGGAGTTTCATGTCTTTCATAAAGAGTTTCTAGTTGGTCACGTGATTAATCAAGGTAGAGAAATTTATAGCGGAAGACATGCATGTTTAACCAAAGAAAATGTTACGTAGATGTTACGTGCTAGCAGACGTCATATTCATCTTTGTTTATGAAGTACCATGCATATTTTGGCATTATATTAATGTTGACGAAGTAAGTTGAATCACTCTCAAAACATTATTACAAAGTGCGTTGGAATTATTACAAATTGCGACAGCCTAGTTTATTACAAAGTGCGATGGACTGTTATTACAAATTGCGACACCTTTTTTATTACAAAGTGCGACGCGCGGTTTATTACAAATTGCGACAGGTATTACAAAGTGCGATGATTATTACAAATTGCGACAGTACAGCATCCATGGATAGCTGTTTCGCTCTTCTGAGGGCTCATCAGCATAGCATAGCCGTCGGACCTCTGAACGGACAAAGTCCCTGTCGTATCAAAGGTCCCTTTCGAGTTTTGGAGCCTCGATATTCCCTGTCTCAAAGCAACCAATTAGATTTCTGCATTAGTATAACATCAGTATACTAATCCGGGAAGCTTGCATCCATGATAGCTGAGTGGCCCGGGCGAACCAGCAAGGGAAAGTTCTATCCATTTTACCATAGTTCGGGTTCAATATTTGCTCTCTCGAAAATCGACTTGTGGAAGTTTGGAAGGTTGGGCTCAGCCTTGAGTTTGACAGTATTGCTCACAGTCAGGTTCTTCAGTTTTATTAAATCCTTCCCCAAAAAAATCGACATTTCTAAATTCCATTTCGATCACTGGGATCAAAGACTAGGCTCGATTACCAGCCGCTGTTCGGGAAAATGAGCCCGGGAGACGGCGGAAATCGAGCCTAATCTGCAAAGGCCACCTCTCTGGCGAAATAAACAATCACTTAGAGTGAGTGACAGTTGAATACATTTTGGAGACATATTTAGTCTTATCTCAATCCAAATTTCAGTGAATACCGGTTTACAATTGACTAAGAGCTTAGAGGCATAACCAAATCATTCACTACCTCGATCCGCATTAGAGAAAGGAACCCATGAATACATAGCATAGTTACATACTATGTATCCAAAGTTTCATACGGATAATGCGTGGTCACTTTCTTTGGAAAGACCAAACTTCTCCTCTGTAACTTATCTTGTTGCCAATTTCAGCATCCACTCGCCAGTAGTATGTAGTACCCGACTGGAGATTTTCTGTCAGGTAATACACATTGTCATCGTCGCGGCCTTCGCTTGATGCTCGGGTGACTTTGATGTCGCTTTGGAAACATTCGCTTTTTTTGTACCGAAGTACACATGCTGAGTGGATATGCCATAGGCATTCAGCCAAATGACAGCATCCCTATCGGTCTAATAAAGAAAGAGCAGAACAAATCCATATCAGACGCCAGCGTTCAACCTTAAATAAAGATGGGGGTTATGAACTTCCCGCGATTATTAATCACTTGCTGTCACGTGACAACACTGAGCGTTCATTGATGTAAGACTGTGGTATACATCTTAAAGTATACAATCGAAAGCTACAATGCTAAAAAAACCTCTGTTAGCCCTTTTAAATTCAAGTCCTTTTACTGACTGAAATGACAGAGTTCCTTACCCTGTCACCGTGAAATCCCCACCCTTTTTTTGCACCTTAAGGCTGAAAAAAGTACCCCTTTCGCGCGGAGCCTCCCCGTATAAACCATTATATGAAGTACTCGCTCCTTTCACCCCGGGGGCGTAAGCAGGAAACATTTCGGCTGGGAGCAGTCATCGCCCAGTAATGCAGTCACAACTTCTTTTCACCGCATTTACAGTATGGGAAAATCAACCTTGTTTTACAGAGGTTCAAGGGGAACATATTATTGTTTACCAGGTAACAACACTGTTATTTCGCGGCAGCTTTTACAGCGTTTACCCTTTTAGTCTTTCATTATCTTAATAATAATATTTATTCATTTTTATCTAATCACCATCAACATTATGACCATCAGTAGAGCTGAAACGGGCCGAATGTATCAGGCCCTAGAATTTTCAGGTTTGCCAACCCTCTTTAAAAGGAGAGAAGAGATTTCATCAAAGCTCTTCAATGAAGTCGTGGATGACCCCGGGCACACTCTTCACAAACTCCTTCCTTCCAAGAATCCAGCAAATTACTTTCTAAGGAGGAATCGGAACTTTGCCTTACCTTTGTGCAAGACCAATCGATGCAAAAAATCTTTCATTTTTAGTCACGTTTTCTGCGCTTAGTAGTGTTTAATTAGTTAGTTATAGTAGCAATTTTATACTTTTTACCTTTTTATTGTTATATTTTATATACTTTTTTTTATTGTAATGTCTTTATTGTAATGTCCTTTTATTGTAATGTCTTTCGTAATTCAGCCTATGGCTGCAAGGTATTAAGACAATAAAGCATCTATCTATCTATCTATCTATCTATCTGTATAGCTTTTCTAAATAAAGGTTTCAGCTAGTAAGACAAAGAAAACATGTCACGTGCGGTCAAAAATATTTCACTTTTGAAAAGAATTATGTGCAAGAATACGGTTGACTTTTTCTTCTTTTTACATTTTTAATTTATGGCTTTGTTTTTGCATTTATTTTACTGTGGGTTGATTTTAATTTAAGGTGCTAATAAGCTTGCTAAGTTCGAGGAACGTACATACCTAAAAGGTAAGGCAAACAACGACATTTCGCATTATCGGGTAACTTCGATGCGGCCGGTCACGTGTGCGTCACTGGACGAAAAACTGGAATTGTACCAATTTTGCTTAAATATATCACAAAATAGTACCAGCTGAGGAGCAAATGGGAGCAAAAATGGTTAATGCCACATTTGACACCTAATTTACAACCCCGTGTAAAACTGGTATACAAATGTGGCATCAAAAATGTACCATCTTTGCCAATAAGTTTGCATTTTTTTTTTCGGCGTATTTGCCTTGAGCAAATTTGTAGCAAATCTACTTTTTTTTCGTCCAGCGTGCGGTTTTTCATTTTCTCCACGAGGCAAATCACAATGACCTTTTTTGGTTGTTGTTTTACGTCAAGGATACAAAACGAAAAATCTTCTTGGCATTATACATGTACCAATATTCTAAACTAACACCCCTTGTAAGCCAGGCATTTGGATGAATTTCAAGCCACAAGAGTTTACTCTAGTGATATTTAATGGCAAGCCAAATGTGCAGTAGTGTCAGGTTGTTCAGTCGCTTCCAGCTGTAATGATTAGAGAGTGGCCATTGACTGAAAGGGATGATCAGAACAAACAATATTCGAAATATCAAGATCTTTGCGATTATTTTAGACGTTCTCTTCTCAGGTTTCGGAGGTATATTTAAGAAGAAAGTGTTCCAAAAACAACAAAAAGAATACATCTTTTTTTTATCTAACACCATCGCGTGTAATTTTTACGCGTCAATAAAATACATGTTGCTGAGGCAATGTATGAAGGTGACTGCCGGTAAAAAAGATAAAAGTTGGGCTAATCGTGTGCTTCATCTTTTCTGCTTTTTAGGTTTAATGTTTGATCATGTTGCAGGAAGCAATGCTGGTAGGTATAAGTATTCATGGAAATTTGACCAGTAGAACGTTTCGAACAGAGACTGTGCAATATTATTCGTTCGGTTCTTCTATGCTTTTAACGAACCACCAAGACGACTGCTTGTAAAGATCTCTTGCCTTGAGCTCGTGATTTCTAAGATGCTCTCGTGTTCTCCACGAATTGAAAGTGCGGTCTATTGCTCAAAATTATTCCTCAGTAATGCATCGTACATCCTTACTGCGCTAAATCTCAAGCGTAATTCGCGTGCGCTCATTAAAAGATGGCGGGTTTTACCTTAAGACCGGAGCTCCCCAGAGAGTTTTAAAAATTCTAATTTTCTCTTAAACGAGTATGGTGATCTATTTTTTTCTCTTTCTATTCAAATGAGCAATAACTTAATTTTTCTAAAGACAGAAAACGGTCAATTACCGTTGGAAATTTGTGTAACTGACATGTACTCCTGAAATCATATTGATATTTTGAGGAATTATTGGGTTATACACGTACAACTTGCTCCTGCTCCTAAACAAGCATGAATACCACCTGATTTTAGTTCAAAATTTAGGTTTCTCTTACTGAATAACCAATTGGTAAAGTTTGATAAAAATCTCGGTACCGGTTCTTTTTCAGCCTGCGAACGGCAGACGTTTCTCCTCGCCCATCGCCTCTGAGGGACGTCTGCCGTTCGCAGGCTAGTTCTTTTTCGGATGAATGACCTTAAATAATTATCGAAGATTATTTGCCGTTAATACTTACTTTAAAAAAACTCGCTTATTAAAAAGCCTGGAAAAAGACAGTAATTGACAAAAGTAACTTGTGTATTGCCGAGTTCCTGTTTATTTTTCAGACATCCGTTTGGTCAATGATGGATATTCCTTATCGCATGCGCAAGGTCGAGTAGAAGTGTTTTACAATGGAATTTGGGGAACAGTGTGTGATGATTACTGGGACCTTAATGACGCCAAAGTAGTTTGTCGCCAACTTGGATTTGGAAGAGCTACGAGAGCATATAAATCCGCTACTTTTGGACCCGGAAATGGAAAAATATGGATGGATGGCGTAAGGTGCACTGGCAGTGAGAGATCATTAACAGAGTGTCCTCATAACGGTTGGGGAATACAAAACTGTGGTCATAGTGAAGACGCAGGTGTCCAGTGCTCAAGTAATAAAGACTTAATTTTTTTCATAATTTAAAACATACTTAATTTAATAAAGGTTGCTTTGGCAATAGCCCACGTTCGATATACAGTGGAACCTCGATATAACCAACCTCTATATAACGAAAACCTCGATATAACGAACCTCTATATAACGAAAACCTCGATATAACCAACCTCTACATAACGAAAACCTCGGTATAACGAACCTCTATATAACGAGACCTCGATATAACGAACTTCTATATAACGAAAACCTCGGTATAACGAACGTTTTTCTTTACCCCAGGAAAAGTAAAGAAGTTTGGCTGTTGGATGTTTAATTAACGTGTATTTTGAGAACTGTTTATAGATATTGTCGCGGATTTCTGCCCTTTTTAAACATGAATTGTACATGTTTGAACTGTCAAACACAACTGAAAATTTGAACTCTTAACTACCGTAGAACTTCCCCTGAGCGTATTACTAGTGGTCGCTTACGGGAGGTTAAATCGCCTTCGATAGACTGGGATTCCTACCTGGGACAAGCCTGCTTGGAAATTACCAAAAAAAATAATATCGTCAATGCCAATTATGGTTCTGCGTTGTCGTATCACCCAATTTGCATCCCTAAAAAATCATGTGCTCAGTGGTCGATCGCTTAAAAAATCATTAATATAGTAATCCAAAATAGGGGTAGCGGCAACTACAAGAAGTTGTGCTGGGGGTCATGCCCTTTAGGTTGGATTAAACATAGTCATCTTGCGAGGAGTGAATGTCATTGTAACGTTTAATTTGTACGTCTTAACTACTTTGCTAATCTCTTCGACGTTCGCTTGGTCAATGGTAAAGATTCCATTCTGAAGGGCCCGGTGGAAGTGTTTTACAATGGAACTTGGGGAACAGTGTGTGATGACTCGTGGGACATCACAGACGCTAACGTAGTTTGCAGAGAGCTTGGATTTGAACGAGCTGTAAAAGCATACGTGTCTGCGTTATTTGAACAAGGAACTGGTACAATATGGATGGATTACGTAAGGTGTACTGGCAAAGAAAGATCATTGGCAGAGTGTCGTCACAACGTGTCTGAAAAACCAAACTGTGATGATCATAGTGAAAATGCGTGTGTAGTTTGCGCCTCAGGTAAAAACAGTGTTTTCCAAATGAACTTTACGAAGTTAAACTAAAAATCAACCCACATGATGGCAGGGAATAACAATAACGACCCATAGAAAGCAACAGTAAGACTGCATTTTAAGTGTAAAGAATTCTTAAAGCCCTGTTACATCAGGGGTACACTCCCTTATTTGGCGATTTCTGAACCCGTGCGCCGTGGAATTCCAAAAACGTTTGATCCAAACCTTGTGGCGAGTAGAAACTTGTGCAAAATAATTGTTGTCGCTGTAGATTGCATGAAGCCCACCTTTTCGCTTGAAATCTGTTCAGTTTTCATTCCAGCCCCAGCCAGCGCGTCATTACGCCCTCGTATATCGCGACTCAAATACGCTCGCGTGCATGGGACACGCGTGGGGTAACTTTGAAAAGAAAATAAATAGCCAAACAAGTGTATGTGTTGAAGTTAATTTTTTGTCTCAGGTAATTTTTATTTTTCTTTCGTTTCAACTTCATTAGCATACAATACCAAAAACAAAAGAAAAAAAAAGCGATAAAAAATTAACTACAACATATATTTAAAAAGGAAAAAAAAAAGATCCGCCGCGGGAAACTGTTGTTGTTTTCCGATTATTTTGTCGCAATTTTTTACGTGACCTTCATGTCTAACACGCGCATCCGGTCCATCCTCATTCCTTGAGGAGGCCATGAACTCCAAAAGGAACCTTAAATTTTTAAAGACAAACCTGAAACTGTGAATGATATCAAATATTTTAGACGTCCGCTTGCAAGATGGTAGTGGCGTTACCCATCACCAGGGTCGCGTGGAAGTTTATTACAATGGAGCCTGGGGAACAGTGTGTGATAACGGCTGGGACCTTGCAGACGCTTCGGTAGTTTGTCGCCAACTGGGATTTGAACGCGCTTTAAAAGCAACTAAGTCAGCGGCCTTCGGAGAAGGAGCAGGAAAAATATGGATGAGTAACGTGCGGTGTACAGGAATGGAGAGTTCACTAAAAGAGTGCAGCCACAATGGTTGGGGAAGACACTTTCATTGTGGCCATGGTAAAGATGCTGGTGTTGTGTGCAGTTACGCAGGTTCGTTTTACATCATAGTTTTACCCATTCGCCCCTGAACCACCCTAACCGCCACCTGAAAGATATTCTAAATTCGTGTCAAAATCGTTTTAAAAATAAACTGGTCGGTGAATACGCCGTGATACGAGTACATGGAAGTTGCTCGCTCCAGGTTATGGGCTCCTGGTTTTAGGTGTTGTGCTGACCCTTGTATTTATAGTTTACTCAGCCCGGTTAGTTTTCGAGCCCTCTTTGTTTTTGTTTGTTTATTTTTCAGGAGGCACAAAGGCACAAACGCATATTCTTCGTAAAGCCATCCTGATTGGATTGAGCATTTTGCTTTTCGTCTGTTTTGTGGGCACAGGGTTTGTAACTTGGAGGCTCTGGTATCATTTACATGCAAAAAAGCAAAATACCACCGAAGATACTGAGGAAGACATTGAGATGTTTGAGGAGAACAATGCTGCTAATATTTCAAGAGAGAACGAGACACCTCTGTACTCTGGGCTCTGTTCTGTGACTTCTGCGGATAGTCATTATCATGAAGCGCAGCGGTACAAGAGCCTCTCTACTGAAACCCTAGATGCATCTCATTTGGGGAAAAAGGGATATCAAGGCTATGAGGAGACAGGACAGGTTCGTACACGGGTAAGGATCCTTCAATAGTCATTGTTACGCCTTGAGAGACTAGTCACCTCCAAGCAATCCTTGCACACCCAACTGCTTACGTGCCCCGATAAGCGGGTAACGTTTCCAGAGGAGGGGTGGGGTGGGGGGGGGGAGTGGGCGGGAATCGCAGGATCAATTACAGGGTGATTTTGCCGTATTGGAGTACCCTCCTTCAGGCGTTACTCGGCAAAATTAATCTAGCTCAGAAGGAATTGTAATTTTAAAGTTTTAAATTAGTTGTGTACTAAGATCTTCTGTTTGTCACCTACATCTGAGTAGAAGATAAACCTAACACAGGTCCTTTCTCAATTCTTTTTTTGCAGGCCTCACACTACGCTTATGCGACGGTTCCTTGTCAAAGAGCACGGTACCAGACTCAGTTACAGAAGCATACTCGTGGAAGAGAAAAATGATTATGTTAAAACTGAACAATGTTAACGCTGATCATGATCTATAAATCGCAATTAACTGGCAGTTTTCTATTCCACCCTTATACTATACCTAAATTTTTGCTTTTTGGAGAGGATCGAGTTTATAGGCAGTTTTACCATTAACTAGGCATTATCTTAACTTTTATCACCTAGGCCCTCTTTTTTTTTTCAATCACAGTGCAAACTCACTGTGATCTTGTTGACTGATAGTGAACTGAGACCCTTGCAATAAAAATAAATTCTGTGGGACGTTAAAGAACCCATACATGAAAGATTAGGTGACGAGGTCCCTGGTGTGGTCTATTCACATTCACATAAGGGACTTCATTACTTCTTTTCTCATTACTTGCAATCTGTAGGTATAAGTTTTGAATTATCCCTGAAAAGCCCTGAGGAGAGTGGATTTACAAGTTACAAACTATGTCTATTCATAGGTAAACGTCTAAGGCGAATTACTTTACGAAAAGATAACCGCTGATTATAC